TGGAAAGGCACCATCAATGCTGAAAGGTATGTCCAAGTTCTAGAACAACATATGCTCCCATCCAGACGTCGTCTCTTTCAGGGAAGACTTTGCATCTTCCAACAGGACAATGCCAGACCACATACTGCATCAATTACAACATCATGGCTGCGTAGAAGAAGGATCCGGGTACTGAAATGGCCAGCCTGCAGTCCAGATCTGTCACCCATAGAAAACATTTGGCGCATCATAAAGAGGAAGATGCGACAAAGAAGACCTAAGACAGTTGAACAACTGGAAGCCTGTATTAGACAAGAATGGGACAACATTCCTATTCCTAAACTTGAGCAACTTGTCTCCTCAGTCCCCAGACGTTTGCAGACTGTGATAAAAAGAAGAGGGGATTCCACACAGTGGTGAACATGGCCTTGTCCCAACTTTTTTGAGATGTGTTGATGCCATGAAATTTAAAATCACCTTATTTTTCCCTTAAAATTATGCATTTTCTCAGTTTGAACATTTGATGTGTCATCTATGTTGTATTCTGAATAAAATATTGAAATTTGAAACTTCCACATCATTGCATTCTGTTTTTATTCACATTTTGTACAGTGTCCCAACTTTTTTGGACTCGGGTTTGTACCTGTGGTGTGAGGTGCAGGAGCGCATCTCCTGAGAGCGTTCCCACTGCCAGGCCCACAAACAGCTGCAGGATGAGTGTGTAGGTTTCCTGGCAGGAGCTGAGGAAGATCAAGCAGATGCCGAACATGGAGCCAACTGTGATGAGCAGGACAGCAGCTGTGCTATAGCCGTACTCTGCAGGGAGGAGACAGTTTTTATGTCCCTTTCACCTGCTATTGCTATTTTTGTTTGCTTCATCTTCTTCATCTGAAATTTGTAAATACACCTGACAGAATAATAATGACTTTTTATTTATCTAGCAGTTTTCAAAAGCACATTTACCAAAAATTTTAATACAGAATAAATACAGTGCAAACAAGGAGTGGAATGAAAATACAATTCTAAAAGAATCAGATTAAACAAACTAGTTAAAATTAAATTTATAAAAATTTAATTTGTATAAATTAATTTTATTTTTTTATTTTTTTATTTATACCACTAACATATATAAGTGCATCATACATTTTTTCCTACATTAGTATATGATTCTTATGGTAAACATGATCACTCTGTCAGGTTTGCCCGGCTGCACCTTCCTCTCTTCTCTCTTTCTCGCTCTAGTCTGCTCCTTCTCACTGACTCTCTTGATTGAACATACCTGTCCTGATTTTCTGACACTCTTCAGCTGCGCCTCCTTTGTCACTCCTTATTTATACTCGGCTTTACCTTCACTCCCTTGCTGGTTCTATCTGTGTCGTTAGCCTTCTTACATTACGTATTGTACTATTTTTCCTCCTGTTTCCACATATGTTATTAGTCCTAGCGTCTCCTGTTGTTTTACCTGGACCTTGGCTTCCTCAGCTCCACCAACCACTTTCACAGGTCGATGCACAGTCTCCTCATTCATTCCACTCTCTGTTACTTCTCCAGTCAACCGGATCTCCACCTTGACCAGCCCAGGAGTGTCTCCTTCCCTCGCAGCCCAACCACATCACTCCATGGACAATAACCCCTCCACTACTGTTGGTCATCACCCGGTGATATTCATTCATTCTATTTTTGTATATAAGTATTGCACCTCTGTTTAGCACTGTAAATAAACCCACCTATTGCACCGAAGCCAGCCGCCTGGGTCTGTTCATTTTTGCTCGCTCAGAATTGTGTCGAGCTGTCATAACACACTCCTCCCCCACCGTTTAATTTAATGGTTCATTTGATCATGTAAAATACAAAAGGTCCTTCTGACTTTAGTCACAAATAAACTGGTTTGCTGTACAGTATATGGTCACATTTACTGTATTTATCAGTGAATGTAGTTTGTAGAGAGGAGTGGCAAAGTAAAAGTCTTACTCTCAAGAGCAGTGGGCTGAGATCCTCTTGCCTTTTGCTCTGCAGACTCACAGGCACTGCCTAGCAACTGCTGAATGATGGCTGGGCAAATTTGTATGAACTGCTCCTTGGAAATTGGCAAATGAGGATCCAGACCAAAAATATCCACCAACTGATTGGCTGAAAAACACACCTGATTACAGTCAAAGGAAAAGATAAAAGTATGAATGAGTAGGAGGCTCAAATCAAGCTTAAGGTACCCCCATGCAGTTCACAGCAGTCTTGCCAAGTAGTGTCTTATGATTGTTAGTGAAGACTGTTTTCTCCTAATCAAATCACATATTTGTCTCAGACTCACCTGTGCCCAGTCTCTGCTGATTTCTCCATGGTTGCAGCTGTCCACCTGATGTCCAGCCACTTTCTGTGAGCTTCCTGTGATGCTCCACCTCTTCCTGTTTTGAGAATGGGCTGCACCTTCCTGTCCTACTCCCAGCTGATGAAGCAACTCCTCCAAGTCTGAGTAGAGAAATGCCATCATTTGATCAAATACTAAGGTCAGGTCACAATAATCTAAGATAGTTTTTTAAATGACTGTATAAAACTTTAAGTAGGCAAAATTTAGAACTAGAGCTACTGAGAAAAGTCAGAATAAATACAGATTTTATGGACTGAACCTGCACGAAGTGCAGCTTTGTGCAAATATCTAATAATGAATTGGATCTTTTTCAAAAAATGGGAATGCCTTTTGACCTAATATTTAGGAGTATTTCTCCTTAAGGAGGGTTAGGCGCTCTCTAGAGCATCATGCCTCATTCCTCCTGCTACAGTACCTGGCAGAGAGCAGACATAATGTTAACTGATCTTTAAAATATAGGCTTACTGAAGATACAAATATTAAAGGAATAATTTTCTTGGCAAGAGGTAGATATGAATACTGATGCCACTCTTATGCCTGTATGGAAAATGTAATGCTATTCCAGCAGCTAATAGGCTTAGCATAAGTAGTGGCATCACAGGGAAACAGCTGGCCTGGCTCTGTCCAAAGGTAGCAAATTACTGCCCTCAGACAAGAAATAGTCCAGGAAATAATCCTCTGTAAAACAGAATTATTAGTTTTATATTTAGTTTTTTGCACAGATCAATTAAACAACATGTAATATATTACAAACGTGAGCTTAAGAGGTACAAGCAGGTGGATTTAATTAGAACCAGGCAGTTGTGCTAAGCTAATTGCCTGCAGAGTGTAACTTTATATTTACATTTACAGATATTTACAGATAGGTGAATGACATTAATCTTCCCATTTAACTCTCTTCCACAAAGTGAATAAGCACATCATTTAAATAATACACCAAAAAAGAAATAAGATTGTCTTTCATGTCTTTATGTGGCTGTGGTTAATGAAGAACTGCCCTTATAGCAATTGACCACATTATCAGTATATTAAATAACATGCAAATGCTAGTTTGTTTTATTAATCATAACAAGCCCACAGTACTTGTGAATTTACCTATAATCTGCAGGTTACTTGTGCGATTTAGGGACCGAAAGATGTAGTTGGTAAAAAACGCAGGAGATGGGAGGTTCCTCCGTCTGAAACAGTGGCCCTGCAGGATATGGCCGATGATTGCCGCTGCCAGTCTGGGCACAGAAGTGTCACCAGCACCTGGATTTTCTTTTATGTCAGCATCTTCAAGTAGACGAGTGGCATCAATACACTGTGGGATCAAAGCTGACATAATCACATTCTGGTTTGCACCTGGTGAAACAGGATAGATTTCTTAAATAGAAAGTGCTTACATGCAAATCAGATGAGGCATCTTGGCTGGAGGGGTCATAGTGCTTGTTGATGAGCTGCAGAATACTTTCCGTTTCACTAGGTGATAGGAGCTGATTGTCCTCAGCTGGGTGTAGATTGGTGAGGGCCAAAAGGTAGAACTGATGGTTCTCAGACGAGGAGGACGACGGGGACGAGGTGGAAGCAGTGTTTGACATGCACAGATCTTCCAAGTTAATTATGTAGTACAGCAGAACAGTTGAGATCTGCTGGTAGTCCTCCTCAGTGAGAGCAGCCCTCCCACCATCTTTTAGCACTGAGAGGGCTATGTCTGGTGTCAGGCACTGTACCAAGAACATAAGAAGAATTTTTGGAGTATTTTAATTATATAAAGTTGCAAAATAGTCTCATAAAACAGAGTGACCTGAGATGCAGTTTTGTCGTGCCAAAGAGGAGGCCTACAGATGTGGGGACAGCACTCTGTACAGCCAGGCCAGGAACACACTGACAAGGGAGATCAGAGCAGCAAACAGGAGCTACTTTGAAAAGCTGAAAGCCCAGGTTTCAGCCAACAACCCCTCATCTATGTGGGGGAGCCTGAAAAGCATCACTGGCTACAGGAAACCATCCCCCTCTGCTGTGGAGGACCGTCAACTAGCAGACGACCTGAATGTGTTCTATTGCAGGTTTCACAATCAACACTCCCCCTTCACCCTCCCCACCTCAGATCTAGCAGCTGCTCCCCCAACAACCACCACCCTTCCCTTCAGCCCCCCACTTCTAACAATCTGTGAAAAGGATGTGCGTGGCCTCTTTAAAAGACAAAAGATCTGAAAGGCACCAGGCCCAGATGGCGTGACCCCCTCCTGTCTGAACGTGTGTGCTGATCAGCTGGCCCCCATCTTCACACTCATCTTCAACAGGTCATTGGAGCTGTGTGAAGTCCCCTCCTGCTTCAAACACTCCACCATCATTCCAGTCCCCAAGAAAACCCCCATCAGTGGACTGAACAACTACAGACCTGTCAACCTGATATCTGTAGTTATGAAGTCCTTTGAAAGACTGGTGTTAGCCCACCTGAAGGACGCCATAGACCCCCTGTAGTTCACCTACTGGGTAAACAAGTCAGTGGAAAACATGTCAACATGGCACTGCATTACATCCTGCAACACCTCGACTCCCCAGGAACCTATGCACGGGCCCTCTTTGTGGACTTCAGCTCAGCATTCAACACCATCATCCTGGACATCCTCCACTCCAAACTGACCCAGCTCACTGTGCTTGCCCCCACCTGTCAGTGGATTACTAGCTTTCTGACAGACAGGAAGCAGCAGATGAGGCTGGGGAAAACCACATCCAGCACCCGGACAATAAGCACAGGTGCCCCTCAGGGATGTGTGCTCTCCCCTCTGTGGTTTTCACTCTACACCAATGACTGCATCTCAAAGGACCCCTCTGTCAAGCTCTTAGTTTTCTAAAGGTCATTGGTCTCATCCAAGACGATGACAAGTCAGCCTACAGATGGGAGGTTGAGTAGCGGGTCCTGTGGTGTAGCTGCAACAATCTGGAGCTGAACATGCTCAAAACAGTGGAGATGACAGTGGACTTCAGGAACAGCCCCCCCCACTGTTGCATTCCGATTCTTTGTGCCATGGCTCCACTATCTCCCAGGACCTGAAGTGGACGTCCAACATCAGGACCATCACCAAGAAGGCACAGCAGAGGATGTACTTCCTGCACCAGCTCAGGAAGTTCCACCTGCTCCAGGAGCTGCTGATACAGTTCTACAGAGGAATCATAGGGTCTGTTCTCTGCACCCCCATCACTGTCTGGTTTGGCTCAGCAACCAAACAGGACAAGTACAGACTTCAGCGGACAGTCGGGACTTCAGAAAAGGTCATTGGTGTGAGCCTGCCCTCCATGGAGGACCTGTACACCTCACAGGTCAAAAGGAGGGCTGAGAGAATCACTGTAGACCCCTCACACCCTGGACACAATCTGTTTGAACTCCTCCCCTCTGGACGGCGTTACAGGTCACTGTGCACTAAGACAACCAGGCACAGGGACAGTTTCTTTCCCCAGGCTGTCGCTCTGATGAACACTTAACCAACGACAGTATGACTGGACAATAACCCTAAGTCCAATACCTGTAAATATACCTTGTACAGATTATACAGATTTGTATAGGTCTCTAGTACTCTATTTTTGTTCCTACTTATCCCATTTCACAATGAGCATTCCTTTGTTTGTCTGCATTGTTTACTGCCTGTTTATACTGCTTATTTTACATTGTTTGCACTGTTTACTTGCTTGTTAATACTGCTTATTTTGTTATATTACACAGCCTTATGCTGGTTTACTGTTTACTTGCCCCTTGCATGGGGATATGTACATACGCATTGAGAGCCGATGTACCAGAGTCAAATTCTTCGTGTGTCTGACACACCTGTTCAATAAAGCTGATTCTGATTCTGATGTACTTGTCCATATGTGGTGGAACAAAGGTCAGCTTGATAAAAAAACCTTTCTCCCTGCTCAAACGGTTCTCTGCTGAGGAGCTATCTGTGCTGCTGATTGTGTTTGTTGAGTTGAATACAACATATATGTACATCTACATATGTAGATAGATGCTCTCTTAATTTCTACAGGCTTGAGACACATACTGTCCCATTGCCAGCCCAAATGCACAAATATGTGAAGTGCCTCTGTTAAGTCAAACCCAGGAATGACTCAGTATTAATGCCCCATAGAGGTCAAAGACTTAACCCTCAATTCAATCACATTTCAGCTATAGCAAGCACATTTTCTGTAATAAGCTGAATGCACAAACTTACTGGATATAAAAGTCCAATATCATGTAGTGACAACTGTATAACTTAAGGCCAGGTGTAGACCTTACCTTGTCACAGTTGTCCTGGGAGGTCCATTCTGCGCAATGCACCGCCTGCAGAAGCGTGGTGATCAGAACACCAGTGTAGTTCTTTTGCAGCTGAGGCTCTTCTTCTCTCCCCAGGGGTACATCCAAGGTTCTGAGAGCCTCCTGCAGGTATCCTCGTTCCTGTTGCTTCCCATCCAGAGCGGTCCCCAGCAAACAAAGAAACAGCAGCAAAATGGGGTCACTGCTCCTAAAGTCCATGTTCCCACCAAGGCTGTCTGACTGCCTCAAGTTTCCAGGGCTGGCTAAGGACAAAATAATAATGATGATGAAGGAAAAGGCAGCGGAGCAAATTAAGACAATGAATGAATCAAGGTTAGTGAGAAGAGAGAATAAAAATCTTCTAACAGATTAGAGCAGTGGATGTGTTCCTTCTGAGGGAGGTGTTAATAATAGGCCTGTCAGGAGGTCTCGGCAGGCACCCTTGAGCAGAACCAGCCCTTAACAATACCGAACAATCAGCCAGAGCTGAGGACCCTTGGAACACAACAAAAGGATGAATGCAGACAAGTGAGAGAGCATGGGTGGAAAGATGGGGCCTTGAAAGGGGACACTGTACAGAATATAATTGATATAGAGGAATATTGGGGACTAGGGATGTGCTATGATTAACACAAAGTAAAGGTTTGGACAGACAGAGGTAGCAGTTCTCCTGAAGAGATGGTTCAAGTGTAAGATTTCCTTGAATGCCATCTGTTTCTGTAATGCTAGAAATTTTTAAATAGTGAGTTTACTTATTTACAGTAACAGCATAAGTTGCACAGGAGGAAAAGAGGAGCTGGTGCGAGTCGGTGCATGCTGAATGTTGAATAAGAGCCCCAGAGCCCCCCTGTGCATAAAAACCAGTCACATTCAAATCTAAGGTTTTTTTTCTGCGTGATCTCTGAGTCATCAGACATTCAGAGCCAAGTTTTCTAACAACATTTCCAAGATTCTCCCACACTGTGCACCCTGCAGGTCAAACCGACTGAGCAATATGTAGACAGAACTGTTGTGGAAAAAAAAATCTTCACTGCTATTTCAATACCTGAGATAGAGAAGATGAAAAAGCTTACCGCACAAACCAGGCCCACTCCTCTGCTGCTTGCAGCGGCTGTAACTACTGTAAGTTTGTTTTTTGTTCCAGTACGACAAACGAAAATCTGTGTTTGTATGTGAAAAATTCTTGGGCACTGGAGCTGCCGATAAACCCTCTTACCACAAGTACGAATTGAATGAGCTCCTGAGGATTAGCTGCGACAGGCAATGAGGGCTACAGTTGCCATGGAGAACTCCAGTTTATTTTCAGTAATGAGGTGATGGGGGTGGCCAGCGTCTGGCAGGGGGGATTGAATGTCTGATATGTAAAAGCATCAGATCTGATTATTTGGTATAGGTATGAAAGATTAGATAGATTATTTTCTTTGTAGCCTACAGCAAAATTTATGCAAATGTATATTTTTACAACCAAAAACCAAGAAGAAAAGCTTTCAAACATCAATTATCTGCTACATTTTTACAACATTTACAGTAACAGTGGTGTCATATGCCTCACTTTCATCAACATCAGGTGTATGAAATTCCTCTTTATTATTCCTATTAACTCGACTAATTGAAACATCACATAGATTTGCACTTTGATAATGTATGATTGTAATGCTAGGAGGTGGGATGCATTTTGTTGTTTGTTTGCTGTCCAGTGGAGGACCTGTTTTACTCAAGTACAGTAATTAAGTACAATTTTGAGGTATCTGTACTTTACTTGAGCATTTTCATTTTGTGGTACTTCATACTTCAACTTAACTACATTTTAGAGGCAAATTTTGTACTTTTTACTGAACTATTTAATAACTTAATTTACTTTTGAATCATATTAATAACACTAAATATCGTATAATCATAAAACTATTGATCCCCAGTTGGAAATTCACAAACTACCCAGCTGTACTTCAAATTATACAGTATACAGTATAAGGTAGTAAACATTCACTCCACTTTTACCAGCTGCAACATTAAATGTGACAGACGAAATATGACATCAATGATTATAATCCAATAAAACTATATACATTAATGTGAAATGTGCATAATGAGTACTTTTACTTTTGGTACCTTAAGTATATTTTGATGCTAATACTTTTGTACTTTTACTTGTTACATTTTCACATTTTCAATGCAGGTCTTTTACTTATGTGGTATTGCTACAGTACCTCCTCCATCTCTGTCTGCAGGACATACTGTTTATGTGTGTGGGTTTTCCTGGTGGGGGAGTGGGGGTTAAAGATTGCTTATGTTTCATGTGATTTTACCTTTGCCCCTTGTAGGGACAAACTGAATTATTCCTGGTTTCTTTATATGATTTTTATCAAAAGATAAAACTGTGCAAGAATGATAACAATTCTGTTTTGTTAATTTCTTTCTTGTTTTTTTTTTATTTTTTATTTTTATAAAGCATCTACTTTATATACAATGTTGTAAGCTGGAAATAGGCTGATGACAACCAAGCCAACTGAGATCTGGCTAATTACATAAAAAAAATCTTCACCCATCTAAATTTTTAACTGATGATGGATCTGCAAATGTTTCTGGTTGTTTTGACTGGTAAAAACAATCTTTACACATTTCACAAATCACAATATTCTGGTAATTTTTATAGAATGTTCACTTATGTTATCTTGTTTGTAATTCACTTAGTGCAGTGTCAGAGCTTGTATGTATTATTATATATTATTTGTGATGATCAGTATCTCTTCGGTAAAACAAGAAAACAATACAAGGCTCAGTTAAGAGTCATTTGATCCAAAATAGAATATGCCAAGATGAAAATCTCTGATCTTATTGTTTTATTGAGCTGATCACCACTGATTTAATTTCTTTATGCTTGTTCATTCTGCTCGATGTTGGTCACCAGGCCCTTGGTGTCCACTGCAGCTCGGAATGGATTGTTGAAGTACAACTTGTTGTCAAAGGTACATTCTCCCAGGACAGGGGTGGGTATCCGCTTACGGAAGAGGAGGAATGCACCAAGTCCAGCTATGGCAATTACAACCAGTACTATAGCCACAGTGACACCAGCAGA